TGCTAATTAACAGGCTTGGAGAAAGAAAGAATGGAAATAATGTGCTTCAAGTATCTAATAAAAACGTTTTTTTTATTACAAAATTTGATCTTTAATAAGACGAAGTGCTGATACATTTTTGTTAAGCGAAAAAAGTTTGCTGTATGCAAATTTCTAGAATAGGCGAAAAGAAAAGTATATCAAGAACTTCAATAAATTTGCACTTTAAAGAAAACGTTGAACGTTGCAATTCATCTATATGAAAAGATTCATAGAAAAAAGATTGGACTTTGCACTATTGTTAGGTGCCTTTATGCTAAAATGAGAACCCTTCTAGATTGTAGAATAAATTTCCAACTAGGTAACAATACTTACCACAGGTGCCGCCTGAAAGCGGAATGTCCCAGCCATTGGCCTCCGGTTAATCACATTGTTCGCAGGTGAGGTAGTAGACGGACCTCAAAAAATTTTAGTAGAGTTAACAAAAAGCACTAAACTATTGTAAAAAAGCTAGAGGAAGCCCTCAATATGACTTAAATTGGTCTACATTCATTTGATTTTGAATAAAATTTTAACCTCTTATCTATGAATGGCTTGCAAAAACTTATTGAACCCGAAGACTAGAAAGTTAAATACAGCGATTATCATAATCGTTTTAAAAACCTTCCAATTAATTCAAAAAAAATTCCCCCGAATAAATTATTAGCACACGTAATGTTCAAAAAAGATGTAATCGTGTTAAAGCCGTCCCACATGAATTCTTCAATACATGAAAAAGTTTGGTCGTAAAGAAATAATTTCGGGTATAATAGCTCATGTTCCTTCCCTGGATACTTGAATAGGAAAGGTTAAACTTACAAGATCATGGGTATTTATGTAAGGGTATGTCGAAAACAAAAAACAAAACGGTACAGCTCCTTTTGAACATACACGCATAGGTACCCCTTTAAGCGGCTTTTTGCTTTATAACGATTATGTTTGCTATTTTTGTAGCAGTAAAACTAAATAGTATGAACATCGTCTGCATAAACTTTCTTTACGTAATAATGCATTGAAAAGATGCACACCTGAAATAGTCAAAGTTACTCCACTTCCGGATGGTCCGCTGCTAAATCGAACAGGTTGAACCTAAAAATTGGAAGTGAACTTGAAAAATAAAATCTCGTTTGAGTGAAAGCATACCTGACTAGCTACCGCCGCCGCCATCTTTTAAAACTCAACAGTTGCAACTCAGATTTGATTAGGATTGATATGAAAGCAAGCAATGACCTATAAAAAAGTCGCTTATATGCAGCAGTTGACCGCAGAAGAACTCGCTAACATGCTAAGGCTATAGAATAAGAAGTTTTCATTGTGATACAACTTAAACTGACAGGAAAGGTAGGAGATGTCAAAAGTCGAAAAAAAACTTAGAACCATTAAAGAATTTATCGACGTGGGAAAGCACCGTCAATTTTCACGCGCTACGCAACCGCAGCGCATGAGAATGCTAAATGCAGGACGTGCCGACATCTGGATGGTTGTAGCAATGAAAATGTTTGTTTGTAGATGAAA